GTAGCGGGGCTGAGGGAGCCGCAGCCGGGCTGAGGGAGACGCATCCGGGCTGAGGGAGCCGCAGCCGGGCTGAGGGAGCCGTAGCCGGGCTGAGGGAGCCACCAGAAACCGGTGGGCACCGGGGCTGAGGGGGCTGTAGCCGGGCTGAAGTGACTGCCAGACATTGATGGGGCTGAGGTGGCCACAGCCAGGCTGAGGTGGCCACCAGGCATTGATGGGTCTGAGGTGACCACCAGGCATTGATGGGTGTGGGGTAGCCACAGCCAGGCTGAGGTGACCACCAGGCCAGGACAGTTGGGGTGGCCACCGCTGGCTAAGAGGAGTACAGGCATTGTGGCTGCTGGAGTTGAGGTGGCCATAGCCAGGCTGAAGTGACCACCAGGATTGAGGTGGTAGGTGGCCACTGCCAGGCTAAGGCTCTGCAGGGCTGTGGTGGCCACTGGGCTTGAGGCAGCCACAGGGAGAGGGGTGGCCACCACCAGGCTGGAACCACCACAGAGCTGTGGTGACCACCAGTGACCACCTGAGACCAGCTGCCCCTGGCCCTTCTCTTGGCTCTCAGTCTCACATCCCTGCCACAGCCTCCAAAGGTCACTGAGAAGCAGCAGAAGAAAGGAGGGTGTGAGCTGGAGAACACGAGCTGTTTTTTCTCGGGTTTGTGTTTGGGGTTTTTGTTTTAAATGAGGCTGATTGATAGTTTTTGATTGCAATCCGTGTAATTCCAGTGGCTGCAGGAGCTTTGGAGATCTCCTTTGTGGGAGATCACACCCCTGGCTCTGCGTTTCAGCCCCGAACATCTGAGGAGGTTCTGGGAAAAGAGCAGATTTCTCCTTCTTGATACTTCTCTAGTACAGAGAGAAGTGTTTTTTTAAAGGACACCTCTTCTCTTTGTCTCTTCTTGCCTTGCAAAAAGGGACAAATGGTTTAAACAAGTCAATTAGAAGAATTTTTCCAACAAGGACAGGAAGGTGAGGACATGCTCCCAGCCTGACAGGTCTGGTGAGGGTTTGTTTTTTTCTGGAGGACAAGCAAACAGTTGTCACTGGGTGCTGCTGGAGAGGAGAACAAAATGTGAACAGCCCAAGGTTTTTATTTTTTTCTTCCTCTTGCTTCAAACATATGTCTTGTCTCTTTCTATGGAAATGTTTATTTAGCTGAACAACCCACAAGCAGGTGGGAGAGGAGAGCTCTTTGTGGAAACCACAGCTCTGTTCCTCTACAAAAACACCGGAACAGCTCGGTCCTACCCCTCTGGCACAAACAAGTTGTCTTCTTTATAATTCCTGATTAAAATGAGAAAGGAAAAAAACAAGTTCTGGGAGCTTTCTTTAATGTGAATGTTACCAAAAGGCCAAGCCCTGACATCTCTCTCTGCTTTTAAACATCGTTTTTGTCATCCCTGGTGTCCAAATGCAGCAGGACTGGAGTGTTCTCCGTGGGATCTTTTGTTCCTCCGTGGCTGGGGTTTTATCTCCAACAGGGTGGGTTTTCCTGGGTCCCCTGGTGGGTGGTCATTGCTCAGCCCGTGGGTCAGTGCAGGTCAGGCTGTGGCTGTGTCTGGACACTGCCCTTGGGGTGCTCATGTCCAGCCCCTGTGATCCCACCTCGTGTCCTGCTGTGGCAGCCAGAGGTGTTCCCGTGTCCCTGTGGGGCACAGCTGGCTCTCCTCCTGCCTCCAGCCCCACTCAGTGAGGGAGAAAAATAACTGTTCCACACATTCCAGCAATGCAAATTCCAGCCCCATCCCTCAGGGAGGGGAGCTGTGCCTGTGAAGTGCAAAATGAAGAGAGGCTCTACAAGATCCATCAGCAGAGGAGTTGTGCTGTGCTGTGGAGAGCAGAGGCACTGGAGCATCCCTTCAGAGCTGGGCACACATCCAGAGCCTCCTGCTCCCTGCCAGGGCCCTGAGCTGGCTCCCAGACCAGCAGTGACAGCAGTTCATGGCCCCTGTGCCCAGCACAGGTGAGCTCTGGAGCTGGGAGAGGTCCTGAGCCTGGCACGAGGTCTGTGTGACCCTGGCAGATGTGGCAGCACCTGCAGGCAGTGCTCAGCAGAGCTGTTACCTGTTTGCAGAGCCAGGGATGCTCATCCCCATTCATTGAGGGAATAACAGCAGGTTAACTGGGGACAGTGGATTGTCCCTCTGCACAAATAACCATCTCCCTTCATTTTTTTCATGTCCTTGGCCATGTCCTCATCCAGATCTCCATTCTCAGTTCCAGGGTCTCTGTTTCATTCTGTCTCAGCCCTGGAACTGCCCTGGAAGGCTCTTAAGTGCTTTTGTAGCTGCAATTGATGGGATCAAAGCCTTCCAGGCTGCATTAGTGCTGCTTCAGGCTGGCAGGCAGCAGATGGAAAATAAACTGGTTCAGGAGCTCTGGGGATGGTGCTGGTGGTGCTGCAGGCAGTGGAGAGCAGCAGAATGCAGAGTGTTTGTGCTCCCAGCTCCGGGGGTGGCAGGGCAAGCTGGTGGATGCTGGGGGATGTGCCAAGGGCTGGCTGGCACTGGGGGCTTTGTCTCACCTCCTCTCACACCACCCTGGAGCTCTTGCTCTGCCTCCAAGCTGTCCCTTTCCCTTCAGGCTGCGGAGTGGAAATGTGGAAGCATCCAGAGCCTTTCTGGGGCTGCTTCAGGGGAGACATCCCCTTGGTGAGCCCTGTGGGGGCTTTGCAGAGGGAGGAACTGAGGCACAGAGAAGCTGGGATCCTGTGGAAATTTCAGGAGAGGACCGTGGGTTCTGTGACTCCCTGATGGATGGCTGAGGGAGCAGGGAGCCAAAATATTCCATGCAGTTCTGAGGCCAGAGATTTGGAGGGGCACTGACCAGAGCAGGGCAGTAATGCCAGTGTGGATCCCACCAGGTATGGAAGTTTCTAATTCCAAGGGCTCAGCTCCCTCACTTTGTGCTTTTGGAATGTGGTCCTCACATATTTGAGTGCCTTTGTTTCACTGCACATCAGTTTATCCCAGCAATCACCACCTCCAGGTGCTCCCAATATCTGCAGGTTTAGGACTAACAAGCTGGAAAAAGTGGGGAATTTCTATGACAAAAGACACTGAATGTGAGCAGATGGTTCAGTTGGAATTATTCAGGCAGATGTAGGTTCAGTAGCCTCGTGCCAGCAGTTCCTGGACAGGGATCCCTATTGCAGATAGCACCAAATCCTGCCAAGGGGCGTAAATCTTTCCCCTGGATATGCTGGGAAGAATGGGAATTAACTCCAGAGCAGCCAGACTTCTGCAGGAGGTTCCAATGAAATTTCACTTGCCTCTTCTTTCCAAACCAGGAGCTGGCTCTGAAGTCCTTGGGGAATGAGGGGCTGTTCCTCTTCTCCTCCCTGGACACAAACAAGGACCTGTACCTGAGCCCAGAGGAGTTCAAGCCCATCGCTGAGAAGCTCACAGGTAGGTTCCTGTCTGCCTTCCAGAACCCTCCCTGCACACAGCCAAACATCACAAACTCCACAGCTTGAATTCACTGAATATTTCATCCACTTTATTGTTTTCTGCTGCTGCTTTGGGTCTTATTTACATGAAGAGAGGCTGTGAAGCTTTCCATGTTGTTGAAAAGGCTTAAGCACCAGACACCACTTAGACAAAGTGGAGTTTTTACAAGGTGGAGGATCCCATTGAGGGACTAGCAAAGTACATAAGTTACTTTGTCTGGAGCTTAAAGGGGATTTGGGGTGGGTGAATGCAACAAATCCAGCTCAGGCCAGGCCAGGCCAAAAGCATCAGTGAGTCACAGTGTTCCATTCATCTGGGGCAGCTCTCCTGGATGGCAGCTGTGGGAGATCATCTCTGGAGACTGTATCAGCACAGAGCAAGAGGCTCTGCTGGTGCCAGGCAGGGAGAAGTGTGGGGATGACAATGGACAGTGGGGACACACACAGGGTTTGCTTGTGCTCTCCTGGACTGGCTCCAGCACGTGCTGGGATTGCTCTGAGGGGCTGGGAGTCTGCCTGGGCTTTGCAGTCAGGGAAGCAGGGAATCATGGAGTGGTTTGGGTTGGGAGGGACCTTAAAGCCCATCCAGTGCCATGGGCAGGGACACCTCCCACTGTCCCAGGCTGCTCCAAGCTCCATCCAACCTGGCCTGGGACACTGCCAGGGATCCAGGGGCAGCCACAGCTTCTCTGGGCACCTGTGCCAGGGCCTGCCCACCCTCACAGGAAACAATTCCTTCCCAATATCCAACCTAAACCCACCCTCTCCCACTTCAAATCCGTTCATTCCTCTTTAGTTCATGCAGCCAGAGCTGGTCTGGGGATGGGTCTGAGTTCTGCTGTGTGGGGACAGCTGGGACACTCCCAGTGCTCCTGGATTTGCCAGGATAAATGTGTAATCACAATTGCTTGAAAGGGGAGGGAGGGGAAGCAGCTGCTTGAATTCCTTTTGTCCTTTTGTCTAGGGGTTGCTCCAGTCTCAGAATCCGAAGAGGAGGAGACGCCAGATCCAGATGGGGAGACTTTGTCCATTGTGGCCAAATTCCAGCCCTTGGTCATGGAAACAATGACGAAGAGCAAGGATGGTTTCTTGGGAGTAGGTGTCCTGCAGGCCACAAATTCTGGGATAAACACGTCTGGTGGGCTGGGAACAGCACCAGGAATACATTGGGAGGGGACATGGTCCTGCTGAATCCCGTGGGATTTGCTGTGACAGGGACCTCGCTGCCTCCCTCAGCATTTCAGGGTTTCAGTGCACTCAGCAGCGCCTGCCCCGCTCAGAACTCCCTTCCTGGGAAGCTGGGAGCAGGAATTAGAGCTGGCTCTGCCTCAGCTGAGTGCAGAAGCAGTGGTGTTGCGTGCCATGTTCCCCTCTCCTCTGTTTCTCACATTCTTGAAGGCTGACAGAACTGTTTGGCGGGCTAAGAAGAATTTGGGATGTGATATGTATTTTTTTCCCTCTTTTCCAAAGCCTCCCTGCATCCATGACATCACTGCACATTGGGAGACTCCACTCTGGGCTCTGACAGCATCTTCTGTTCACAGATTTCCCACGTGGCTCTGTCTGGGCTGAGGAACTGGACAGCCCCAGCAGTCCCTATGAGTGTCCTGCTTGCCAGGCAGTTTAAAGCCTTTCTCCCTCCAAAGAACAATCTGGATCTTGGGGATCCATGGTGGATAATTCCCAGTGAACTGAACATCTTCACTGGGTACCTCTCCAACAACAGGTTTTACCCTCCACCTCCCAAGGGCAAAGAGGTGAGATATGAAGCTCAGATTTTATGTGTGCATCCCTGGATTTTCTAAGGAAGCAGGAATTCTGCAGTGTGTAGCCAGGAGCACCGAAGGTGGAGGTAAAGCTTAGAGGAGGCAAAAGCTCTGGGTGTCTGTCACAGCCAGATGAGGCTGACTGGAGCAACTTCATCTTGTTTGTTAGTTGTGTGGGGTTTGAGGATAGCTTTTTCCCAGAGAGGGCTATTCAGAAAACACCTGTGTGGTCATTCCTGGTGGAGCAGTGGCCACCTGAGCCTTCAGGTGACAAGTGGGACTCTGTGTGTGCTCAGCAGGTAAAGCCTGGCTGTGCATCCCCTCCCCTGGGGGCTGGTGTAACTGAGCCTGGTGGGATCCGTGATTGCACTCCCACCCTTTCCAAGGCTGAAGCACTGGTGGAGGCAGCCTTGCACATCAGTTTGCTGTTCTGCCTGGGCTGGTGGAGAGCTGCAGAGCAAGGGTGTAGCACAGGAAGCGTGGAAGATGGATTTATTTGTGACAGCAGAGCCTTGCTTTGTCTCCTCGGCGTGTGATTAGGTCGGTCTCTGAGCTGGGTGATAAATCACAGCCATTCTCTCTCCCTCCTGCTCAGGTTGGAGGGTTTGCTTTGGAGCTGTGTGGAGGAGCAGTTCTCATTCTTGCTCCTCCAATTCCTTCTGCAGGTGCTGATCCACAGGCTGCTGAGCATGTTCCACCCACGGCCCTTCGTGAAGACGCGCTTTGCCCCGCAGGGAGCCGTGGCCTGCATCCAGGCCAGCAGCAGCTTCTACTACACCATAGCATTCCGGTGAGCTCCAGGGGCTGGGGGACACCCCTGGGGGACACCCTGAGCCTGTCCCCCGTGCCAGGGCAGGGCAGGAGGCTGCTGGGAGCCCCTGGCAGAGGGCACAGGAGTGGTGGCACCGTGCAGGGTGTTCCCAAGGGACACCAGGACTGGTGTGGCTGGGACAGAGGGGAGGGTGGTTCAAGCCAGAGGTCACCTGTGCTGCCAGTGGCACTGTGTCCTCATGCAGGACATCACCCTGCTTCACAGGGGAGAATCTGGCTAGCAAGAATTTTGTTAGGTTATTCAGGGGGTGCAGTGTCTTCCAAGGGGGACAGCCCGCAGAATTGTTTTACTGGGAGTGTTACACGCAGCTTTTATGTGTCAGGTCAGGCTGGAGTGGGGGCTAAAGGGGTTTTGTTCTGTCCCTGTGTTTCAAGGAATGATAAAGTGTTTCATCCTTCCTGGATGCCCAATTCCAGAAGGTGTGGATGCTGGAGATGCTCCTGACCCAGGGCATCTGTTCCAGTCTTTCACCCTCTTCATTGTGTGACATGAAAAGATTTTTAAGCTCCACCTCACTTGCCCAGTTTAGATTCAGAATTTCAGGTGCCTGGAGACAGCTTTTCCCTGCAGTGCAGGATCCCAGCTGATGGCTCTTCTCTCCTTTCAGGATCCACGCTGAATTCCAGCTGAATGAGCCACCAAACTTCCCCTTCTGGTTTTCCCCAGGACAGTTCACAGGTTACATTGTCCTGTCCAAGGACTCTTCCCACGTCAGGGACTTCAGGCTCTTTGTTCCTAACAACAGGTACAGCCACTTCCTTCTCATTTCTTGGAAAATCTGAGTGATTTGAGCTCTGCAGTTGCTTGTAAATGCATTTCTCCATCACTGAGCATCCCTGACCCATCCAGGGCCTGATTCCCTCCCCAGTGACTGTCCCCTGGACCTGGGAGGATGGGGAGGGATGGGCAGGGTGTAGGAGGACTGGCAGTCCCTGTGAAGTTCAGCAAGGCCTGATGCTCCTCCTCCAGGAGATTTTTTGCTCGGAGTCTCACAGGTTAAGGTTTTGTGTGCAGAGCTTTGCAGCAGCTCGTTCCTGCTCTCTGGCAAGGAACTGGGAGTGTTTCAGGGGGAAGAAGCTTCAAATCTCTTTGCCCATGACAGGAGTGGAGATTTATTATAATGTTACCCTGGCGACTCAACCCCAGTGGCTCTGTCAGCACTTTTCTTAACAGCCAGCAGATACTTTGGGCACTGCCAGCAGCCTTTTACATCCAAAAAACCACTTTTTAAAAGTTCAGCAGGATCAGAATGTGCAAGTGAAGTGCTGGGAAGGAAGAGGGAGCAAAGACATCTGTCATTTGACAGAGCTCAGAGGTGTTGAGTACTGGGTGGGTGCCTGGGCCCTGCTGCAGCTGGGATCTGCTGCTCCCGGGCTGGTGCAGGGAGCACAGAGCTCTCCAGAGGCTCTGGGTTCAATGCTGACCCTGCAGAGGATGTTCCTGTTTGTTTGGGGTTCCCCAAGCACAGCTTTAGCCCTGGGTGACTCTTGGGTTCCCCGTGCAGGTCCCTGAACGTGGACATGGAGTGGCTGTACGGGGCGAGTGAGAGCAGCAACATGGAAGTGGACATTGGATACCTGCCCCAGGTCTGTGCCCTCTCCTGGTGCTCCACACGAGCACAGCTTCTCCTCAGGGCTTTGTGCTGCCACGGCCCTGAGCTGTGGAGCCTCTGTGACCCCATTCCTTAGAGCCTCTCACAATCATTTCAGTACAATTTATCTGTGTGTGCCCTCTGCAGCTGTGTGGCTGTTCCCAGTTCTTGTGATATTTCCCTTTTTCCTCTCAGTGTGGGTTGAATCCTTTTTCCTCTTTCCTTTTTTAAAACATTCCCTGACAGGCAGGAGGGAAGATGAGGAGTTGAACCCAGTCTCTGAGCCCAGAGCAGGGTATGAACAACAGTGGGTCTGGATTTAGAAACTGCATGAGGTTATTCCCCTGTTTTGTGGTAATCCCAGTTCTTGGGACAGGAAACACAAGTCAGAATTCTGAATGCCTGAATTCAACAGGCTTGTTTTCTCCTAAACTGGAGTCGTGTTTATTTTTAATTGGCAAAAGTCAGGAAAGCAGATTTAGCAGAATCATTTCAGCTGTACCAGAACACACAGGGAAGCTCCTGGACAGCTTTTCCTGCTGCTCCCTCTTGTGGCTTCCCAGAGCTGAGCTGGTGACAGGAGCAAGAGTCAGCCCAGCAGATCCTAATGCTTGAGAGGATCTGGTGTCCCACACTCAGTAAACTCCACTGGGAAGGTGGGAGAATGGAGTCTCTGCATTTCCAGTCCAGTGAGCACAGCCACACTGAGGAAATTAAGTTCATTTCCTGGTAAAACGCAGCTCCAGGAGATGGGAGATCAAGCTGTACCTTCATTAGGAGATTTGGGATCTGTATCCTGTCCTGGAGCCCAGGAGAGGGCTGTGTGCAGGGTCCAACCCAGCCTGTTCCCTGCAGATGGAGCTGGAATCCACAGGGCCTTCGATCCCCACCGTGATCCACGATGAGAATGGGAAGGTCCTGGACAGCAGGGACCCCTCGGGGGAGCCCATCCAGTTTGTGTTCGAGGAGATCACCTGGCAGCAGGAGATCCCCTGGCAGGAGGCAGCCCACAGGCTGGAAGTGGCCATGTATCCATTTAAGAAGGTGAGGAAGGGGCTGGGCTCTCCTTGGCACATCGATTTGGGGCAGATTGTGCCATCCAGTGACCTGGAGGGCCTGCAGAGTCCCGAGGCCACAGCCTGAGCGGCATCCAGGGCGCTGGGAGGCTGTCCCAGGGTGTTTGGGGTCACACAGCAGCACAGGCAGCAGCAAAGCTCTGTGTCAGGTGTCCCCAGGATTGCACTGTGAGTGTAGGCTCATCCTTCCTGCCTCTTATCAGTGGCTGCTGCTGATTTTGGAGCAGGCAGGTAATTGTGCTGCTAACAGACAGCTTTTTCCTCTGGCATCACTTCTACAGCAGCCAGGTGCCTCTGGACCAAGCTTTCCTTATCAGCAGAGAACACAAGGTCTGCCTGTGCCTCTGCAGCCTTCAGCCAGACACAGATTTATAGCTCTGGGTGACCCAAACTATTTAACATGCCAGCAGCCTGTGGAGCAGATGGCTACTGCCTGTCACTGCTTCCTTGGCTGAAGGGACACGTTTTGATGGCTGCCTCCTTGTGCCTGAGCTTACAAACGTCCCTTCAGGCTGCCAAGATGTTAATACCAGTTCCTTTCATTGGAGTGATTGGAGCAGGCTCCCTCACAGCCAGTTCTCAGGCTGTTTCAGGAGATTTGGTAATAAATAGCTCAAGGCCAGATTTCCCAGCAGCTGAGGTGGGCTTGCAGACAGCCTGGCCACCCTGGTGCAGATGTTCTCTGCAGTGTGTAACATCAGGGCTCTGCAGGTGCCAGGGACAGAGGGACCACAGCACAGCTGTCACTTGTTTAAATCTGCAGATGCTGCTGCAGATGGAGCTCTGTGTGTGTCACCCCTGGGTCTGGTTCCTTCAGAGCCGCTCCTGTTGGAGCTGGGCTGTTCTGTGCCTGTTCCTCACGCTGTCCCTCTGCCCCCAGATCTCCTACCTGCCCTTCACAGAAGCCTTTGAGAGAGCACAAGCAGAGAAGAAGCTGGTGCACTCCATCCTGCTCTGGGGTGCCCTGGACGACCAGTCCTGCTGAGGTGAGGACATCCCCAGCGTGGCTGGAGGGATGGTGTCAGGAGAGCTGGGGCTCAGGAGCCAGCAGTAAATGTTGTGTCACTTGTTTTGGCTCTGGAGGTGCCTAACAGGCACAGGCTGGGAGTGGGGAATTAATTACTGGTGTCAGCTGCCCAGTGGCAGCACCAGCTCTGAGACAAGTTGTGAGTCAGGTGCCTTTGTCGAGGTCTGGTCTTCCCCCTTTTTCCTGCTGGGGGAGAGGCAGCACTGGCAGGGAAAAGGGGCACTGCTGTCTCTGCCTTGTCCCTGGCACCTGCACAGGAGAGGCCAGAGCCAGGCCTTGGGGCTGTCCCAATGTGCAGCTTTTCCCCCCTCAGTGGCTGAGAGCTTCTGTGCCATGTTGGGCAGGAGGGGAAGGCTCTCTTCAGTCCTGTCTGCCCTGAAAACCCCTCAGCACTGGGCTGTGCTCAGCATGAACAGCAAGGGGCACTCGGGGTGGCTTCCATGGCTGACTTCTCCTGGGTCTCCTGTGCCTGGCTTGGGCTCTGCTCTGCCGAGCCCTCCCTGCCAGCAGCACCTGCAGGAACAAAAGCCATGGAAAAACTGCCAACAACGGAGCAAAAAGACAGTGGGGAGGGCTGGGGGGAGCCAGTCAGCTGCCACTCAGCAGGTGGCATCGAGCGTGGTGACAGTGACCTCAGCAAAGCCTCCTGTGCCTCTTCCTGTGCCAGGTTCGGGGCGAACTCTCCGGGAGACCGTCCTGGAAAGTTCGCCCATCCTCGCCCTGCTGAACGAGAGCTTCATCAGCAGCTGGTCCTTGGTGAAGGAGCTGGAGGAGCTGCAGGTGAGGCTCACACTCTGCTGGGGGTGCCAGGGGAGCTCTCTCACCCGTTCCAGGGGGGATTTTTGTTTGAAGCCCTCCCTGTCCTCGGCCATCGCAGGGGCCAGGCAGACGGCAGATGGAGGCGGGCTGAGGAGTGGCACAGTGACCCCCTTGGCTCTGTCCTGCTGCCAGGTTTAAAGCTAAACCAGATGCTTCTCTGTGAGACAGCCCTGCCCAAGGCCTCTGGTGCCATCAACCAACTGACTCCCCTGCAGCCCAGGGGACAAACAAATAACCAAATAACTGTCTGAACCCTGAGGCTCCTGATGGAGCCTTTCCCCACTTCTGAGGCTGTGCTGTCAGCTGGGATCAGTCACAGAGCTGGAGACTCTGGGAAAGGCTGGGATCAGACTGTTGATGTGTCTGTGATGGGGTGATTTTATTGTCTGGGGAGAAAATCTGCAGCTGAAATGAGAGAGGGAGGCTGAAAGGGAATGGGAAAGCAGCCTGTGAGAATGGTACCAGTTACCACTACACTGCAAAGCAGCTCTCTGGTCCCTCCCTCCCTCTCTCCTGTGCTCTGTGTGTTCTCCCTGTGCCATTCTGCCCCTTTTGGGCTGTGCAAATGTGTGGTTTTGGTATCTCCCTGCAGAGCAACAGAGAGAATGAGTTCTACAGCAAACTGGCCGAGCTGCACCTGGAGAAATACAACTTCCCTGTGGAGATGATCATCTGCCTCCCCAACGGCACGGTGGTAGGGCTGGACTCTTCCCCAGGGAATGTGTTCTCTGCAGGGCCCCCCAGACCTGGGGCTGCCCCTTGAGCCTTTGTCCCTTTACCCAGAAATCTGAAACAAATGTATTTGTATTCAGAGACAGAACAGCAGCAGCTCTGGGCAGGGGCAGAACAGACTCAAACCAAGTGTGATTCCTCACTGTCCCTGAGCTTTGGGAAGCCACTGTAGCTTTGTTTCCTAGCCATGGCCCTTTGTGCTGATCCTCTGAAGAAAATCTCCTGATCAGGACCTTCCAGCACATTTATCTCTCTTGACTCCCCAGACTGCTGCCAGCAGCTCAGCCATTAGTGATCCCACACGCTGCCCAGCAGCCCCCACTGCCCTTCCCCCCTGCATTTGGGGAACAGCTCCTGACTCTTGGCAGCCTGGTCTGTGTCAGCTGCTGGGCTAATCCTGCCCAGACACCAGCTGGTCACACCTGCAGGGTCCCCTCGCTGTCCTCACAAGGCTGTGGGCTGTGACAGACCTCAGCAGCCACAATGGGTCACTGTCACCCTTTTCCCAGCTCCGTGGGGCAGCAGGAAGTGTTGGAAGCTCGAGTGCTGGTTTTGCAGCTCCATCTCCCCAACTCTTGCTCACAGACACGATCTGAGCCTCCCAAAATCACCTTCATCTTCTTAACCTAAGCAAAGGGTCAGCACCCCTGGGGGGAAGATCACACATTTTTCTCTGACTGGGAAATTCAGACCTGAATTCTGAATTAGCATTTGCAGAGAATTAGATATTCTGTAAGAGCCTTGTCACCTCTGTCCTGGCTGCAGGCCATGGCAGAGGATGGGGAATTGTTCTGGCCCTTAAAAGTCTCCTCTCATCTGTTTTCTTTGCCAGATTCACCATATCAATGCCAACTATTTCCTGGACATTACTTCTATGAAGCCTGAAGATGTTGAAAGCAGCATCTTCAGTTTCTCAAGCAATTTTGAAGACCCTTCAACTGCAACTTACCTCCAGTTCCTGAAGGAAGGGCTGCAGAGAGCAAAACCCTACCTGCAGCCCTAAAACCAGGCACCTGAATGCCCCACTGAGATGGCCAAAGACTTCAGAGATCTATTTTGATTACAGCAAATCCTCCTTATCTCCATGCCATGAACTGCAGGCAGTCCCGGGCCGGGGCTGTGCTCTGGATCTTGGTTTGAGGCTGAGTTCCAGGTGGTACCAATTTACACAACCTGCCCTTTTCAGTTCAGGCACATTTTTACAGGAGTGAAAAATACTTGAATCCATTCCCAGTGCACGTGCCTGGGCGTGCCACCCACCCTCATTTGCTGGCAGCTCCCGTTCAGACTGGTGAAACTGGTGTGACCCCAGAACTGATGGCCGGGACTTGCCGAGCGCGGGGAGCAGCACTGCCACTCTGACCAAACACTCGTGGTGAGGACACAGCCAGCACCCTGCTCCCACCCTGGGGCCAGCCTGGTGTCCTGTGGCAGCTCTGGCTGGCAGTGACAATCTGTGTGACAGGGCTGGGAGCCGAGGATGAGCTCTGGGCAGCCCTGCGTGCCCTGCTGGCCGCTCTCAAACAGGGTCTGTGCCCCTGAGGGAGGTGCTGAGGGTGGCACCGGGGTGTTCGGGTTTGGTGCAGCTCAGAGGGCTCAGGTGAGGATCAGTTTGAGCCCCCAGGAGCTCCCCCAGTGTCCCACCCATCCATCCCTCCCAGGGCTCCCTCCCCAGCAGCTCTGGGAGCTTCTCCTGGTGTCCCCTTGGAGCTGGAGCCCTGTCCCTGTTTGCTTTGAGCTTCCAGGTCGTGCAGGGTGAGGAACCACAGGGTTCCCTCTGGGAGCTGCCCTGAGAGCATCACCTGGGTGAGAACCGGGCAGTTCTAAAAGCCAGAAGTACAAAGAGATATTTTCAGGAATTTTTTCCCAAAGAGATTGTTCAGACATGAAGCCATTATCCCTTACCTGAAGCCACCCTGAGCAGTTGCTCCTGCTCTGTGCCAATGCCTGGATACAGAGTGAGCCTTGTTTTGTAATTTGGGGAAGGAAAGGTTAAGTGAAAGGGATTTTAGGACATATTCCTACAGGCACGTTGAGAAGACAAAGCATCTTCAGTAGCTGCCTGCAGCCAGCCCTGGCTGGTGATGCTTTTTCTGCTCTCTGAAGCACAATTTTGTTGGACCAAATCAAATTAAGGGAAAAGCCTTTTTTTTTTCTTTTTTTTTTTTCTTTTTTTTTCTGATAAGGAATTTTTTCTTTCCTGGGCTCCAGGTCCTGGGAGGAGCCTGGGGGTGGCAATTTACCCTGTCCCCACCCTGCCCCAGCCTTCCTGCCCATACCTGAGCCTGGAGACTGAGCTTAGCTGCACCTCTGGGCTGAACCAGTGCCACTTCACTAATTGCTCTAGTGAGATTAATTAATGGCCCCGGGATGTTTCTCAGTGTTGGCTTTGTAACTATGCATTAGCTCTGCACTTTCTCACACTCCAGCGTGCCAAGCTGTGCTCTGGCCGTGCCAGAACCTCCAGGGAGCATCGGAGACAGGTCCTGTGCTCCCTTTGGGAACTCGGATCCCTGCAGGGCTCCAGCTCGGAGGAATCCTTTGGGATCCTTGCGGCTCCTTGCAGCCAGCTCCGAGCGCTCCCGGGGGACGGGGATGAGTCTGGAGAGTGGCAGAGGGAGCCCCAAAGCCACCCCCGAGCTGGAGCAGCCTGGGGGATCCCTGGGTGTCCCTTTGTCAGCGGCCGTGGGCTCTGCGGGCTGCCAGCCCATGGCTCCCCCGGTGCCAAGCGTTCGGTTCTCTGTGTACACCGGCTGCTGCCGCCTCCCCTCCGCGCCTTGTGACGCCCTGGCCCGAAACCGGCGGCGGGCCCGGGCCGATGTCGGCCGGGAGGGGCGGCGGAGCGGCCCCGGTAAAACCATCCGTGCATCCTCCATCGGCCTCCGCTCTCCTTCCTCCGCCGGGGGCTGCGGGAGGGCGGGGGGCGAGCGGGGGTCCCCATGTCCCCTTACAC